CAAATCGCCCTACTCCAGGAACAGGACATTCGGTGGATTAGGCCGCACCATTGGCATATTCAATAGGCTAATACTCTATTTATAAAGTTATTTTATCAGTGGCTCTTCTGGAAGCGCTATGGGGGGTAAGTGGTTAACATAAAATTATCACAATAGGAGAACGATATATGAACTAATGGAAGAAACAGATTAGTGCTTGCTATCGAGATTTCTTGTTGAACGTATACATCCAAAATATCAACTCAATATTATAAAGAATAGTAGCACTTCATCGAAAGTCACAAATTTTGTCCAGAACTGTAAGTAATATATATATATATTTGTTTATTGGCTTACGGTAAACATATCTTTACAATTTTCTTCTCGTTCTTCATCTTCTTCTTTCGTATAAAATTTACGAAAAAAATTAAATGCAATCACTGTATAAAGATAAACAATAACAGCCATTAACATCATTGTTAAAAGTAACTAAAATAAAATAGATTAAAAAAAAACGTTCAAACAGAAAAATTTGAATAGATAATCACTTGTCGACCATTGTGTGTTATAGATTTTAATATTGTACTTAAAGCTTTTACACTTATTGCAACATCAAGTAAATGAATTGCAAAGACAAAAAATGTAAAATTACCAATAATTGAAAATAAAAAGTAGAAGAAAACATAGAGAAATGACTAAACAAAAAATAAGAATATTATGAGCATTTCTTTGAATATCAAATCGTATACATTGACACATTCTTTATCTCAATTAAGTAACACTTATGTACTAATGTCTATAGATGATAAATACATTTTCTTTCACTCAACAAGAAAATATTTACATATGTTAACCTATTCAATCTAAGATCATCAGCTCAACAAAGTACTAGGACTATGACAGTTCGGAAATCGTTCCGAACTGGTGAACTGTTCGAACAGTTCTCCCAAACTGAACTGAACTGTTCGAACAGTTCTTTCGAACTGAACTGAACTGTTCAAACAGTTCAGCTCAGCTCGCAGGACTGATGAAATGTCTCATATAGGAGTACCCTTAGTCCTCAAGTCCCATATATTAGGGGTACCCTTAGTA